TGATTATTAAAATGAAAAGATCAAAAATTTTAAAATATGCAAACTCCACCGAGAGAGTAAAATATCAATCACAGTGAAGCCACCTAAGAATGTCTCTGGTTCCCAAAGACCCCCAGACTTGATGACATCACCATGTCTTGAGTGACTTCCTAGATTACAGCAGGGAAGGGGCAAGCCTCACTTCAGGAGGGAGAATGTTCCACAAGGAAGGAGTCACTGCAGAGAAGGCCCACCAAATGCAAGTCCCTGACCGATGGAATGCGTAGCATACCTTCCCTGCCAGATCAAATGGGACGGGCTGATGTAATTAGGGAGAGGCGGTCCCTCAGTTAATCCAGCCCCATGCCATGAAGGGCTTTAAAGGTCAAAGCCAGCACCTTGAATTGGCTTTTTTTGAATTAGCTTCTTTTTCATTACATTTGTACTTTTGAGAATTACAGTTTTCTATTTCATTTAAAACATAGACCTGTATTTGTGTCTAAAAGCAGTAGCAATATCTTTTGATTCACATAGGAGCTTCATAACACATGCAAGTAGGATGAAATTGTGGCTTTTTTTATGTTGAAACTTTTAATATATTATTGATAGCCATAGACATTGGGATGCGTTGGTATGATTATATAAGTAGGGTTGTCACTGACCATGTGATTTCTAATTGATTAAATCTGCTAAAGAATAATCAGTTTTGAATTACAAAGCAGACCTTTGTGTACTTAGATGTATACTTAGGACAAAGCGGATAATTTCTTAGAGGCGTTCAGTGTTGTATGAGAGAAAAGAAATGTATTGAACACTTTTTTCTTCCCCTATTAGATTTGTCCAATAGTAACATTCCAATTCAGAAGGTTTTACTTGATTTCAGTCATGATAAAAAAGATGTATTTCACCCAAGACAGAATTTCACTATTACATCTTTTTTTAAAAGCTGAGTTGTATATAAATAATTCTATTCCATATATACCATTGCTATATAATAAGTAAGCTTAGTTTCTCCTAGTGAAACTAAGAACAGTAAAAGTTTATAAGAACAATATTATGCAGATTTTTAAAATGTAAATTTAAAAGGCTGGAAATCAAAAACACAGGGAGCATATGGAGCCTTATGCTTGGGATAATTTTGTAAATTGCCAGGAGTCAGAGGGCTCACAGGAAATGCAGGCCTGATGCCTTTATTGGTTCTGCGTTCCATGTCTCTGCCTCCATTCCCAGTTTCCAGTTGTCAAGTCTTGAGCAGCTCTGGACTCCAGCTGGTGTTTCTGAATGCCAGGTCAGTCTGATAAAGCTCACTCGTCTGGGATTTAAACCTGGATGAAAGGGCCAATCTGGCATGCATTACTGAAACTTGGTTTTGGTGGAGTGCTCCTCTCTGAAATGTGCCTGGACAGATTTTAGGTTTTGTACCAGCCACGATCCCAGGGCCAGGACAAGAGGGGTTGCTATAGTTTTTGAGATACTTTGAGGGTTATCGTGGGTGCCACTCTGCAGATAGCTGAGTGTGACTCTGCTTGTGAGGCTGGGCATTAGGGATCAGTTGAGATTGCTGCTACAGTGCCAATCTCTTACTGCATTCCTAGATCAGGAGGCTCTACTCATAGTCACTCCTGCCCTAATCACCTCCTGGATGGACTACTGTAATGCGCTCAACATGGGGCTGCCCTTGAAATATATAAAGCTTCAGTTACAGAATGGTGGCACGGGCAGTTATGTGTGCTTCAAGAACTGCACACATTACACCTCTGCTTTGTGAGCTGCATTGGTTACCAGTTTGCTTCCAGGTCCAATTCAAGTGCTGGTTATGACCTTTAAAGCCCTACAGGGCATGGGACCAGGTTATTTGAAGGACCACCTCTCCCTGCTGACATCTGCCTGGTTCCATCAAGTCCAGCAGGCGAGGCATGTTGTGGGTCCCATCAGCTAGGGAGTTTCATTTGCTGGGTCCTAGGAGGAAAGCATTTTCTGCCATAGCCTCTGCCCTGGGGAACATCATTCCCCCTGTTGGCCTTCTGGAAAGCCCTCAAAACATGGTTTTGTCAACAAGCTTGGGGTTCCTGTGGTAGAATGGAGCCTGTTGGATGGTTATATGAATTTGCTCTGAGTTGGACTCCAGCTAGGCAAGTCCTATGGAGCTGACTGAGGCACAGTCTTATGATGATATCTGGGAGGAGTTTGATCCTGTCTCCTGAGTGCAGAGGGTCCTTGGCACTGTGGTTGTGGCCACATGTGTTAGATCATGCCTCTATTTTAATGCCTCCAGGGAGGGGCCATGCAGTGGTGAATGCTTCCTTGAGAGAGTAGGTGGTCCCATTCACTCTGAAAAAAGCAGTGGTCTGCCTTCTCCTCAAGAAATCATTACTGGACAATTCCCACAGACATGGACAATTTTCACCCAGTCTCCAGCCTTCTCTTTTGCTTCTTCTTTCTCCAAAGGGTTCCAGAGGAAGCACATCCTCTGAAATCTGGTCAAGTTTCAGAGTTGGATATAGTACTGAGACAGCTTTGGTTGCACTTGTCAGTGACCGTTGGCAGGCTCAGGATGGGGATAGTGCCTCCATCCTAATTCTTCTTGATCTCTTGGCGGCCTTCAGTACCACTGACCATGGTATCCTTCTGGACAGGTTGAGAGTGGAGTACACTGTTTTGCAGTGGTTCTCCTGCTTCCTCCGGAGCCGGTTGCATTTGGTATTGGTGGTGGTGGTGGGGAAAGTAGTCTAGTCTGAGATCCCTGGCTCAGGGATCAACCCTCTCCTTTCTTTAACATTTACATGAACCCAGGGGTGGGTGGGTCATCCATTGACATGGGATGCAGTATCATCAGCATCAGGATGTTGATGATACTCAGTTATACATCTCACCCCCAGCTACCCAAGTGAAACTGTCACGGTTCTGTACTGGGGGGCTTTGTATAACTTCATTTTGTGTCCCAATTTTGTCCATTTCTGGATTGGGGGACCTTGCTCATGATTACTCATGTATTAGCACCTCCCAACTGCATTACTGTAATGCACTGTACATGGGGCTGTCCCTTCATTGAAACAAAGTCATCTTATATGACCCCTGAGGTATGCCTTTTCAGTGGTGGTTCTTTCCCTTTGGCCCTGACCTTGCAGGCCTTTAGAAAGGTGGTTAAGACCTGGCTCTTGTCCTGGACCTTGGGGTCAAGATGAATAGAGTTCCCAGTTGATGGGTTATAGAATATTTCAGTTCTGACTGTCATTTATTGTTTTAGTAAGTTTTAATGAGACATGTTTTCTAGAAGTTGATTATGGTTTATCTTTTTCTTTTGTATGTCGTCCAAAGTCACATGGTCTGAGTTAGGCAACCATATAAATGTTTTAATAAATAAATAAATAAATAAATAATGGTTTAAATGCTTAGAAAAGGGAAAAGATAGATACTTGTTTGTTCTTCATTATCCTGAACATTTCAAAATAAGCTGATTTTATGCCTGTTCTTATGCATTGGTTGAAATTAGAACTTTTACTGTATAATAAATTTGGTCAAATATGTTTACGTACTTTTTAATTTAGAGACGAGAACGCAGACCAAAGCTTGAATCAGATGTGAAACAAGTGGGTAAAGTAAAAATATCACTATATGGTGATGGAGTTTGTAAGAGTAAATAAAACTAATCTTGCATGGTGTCCGTAACACTTGTTTTCTTTGTGCATTTGCCTGAAAGTTGTGATTTTCTACTCAGATTAATCTTTTGAAATAGATGTAGAAACAAAATAATGCTTGTGCATCCTGTATAAAAACAAAATTATTGATGTTCACAAAATAATACAATCACTTGACATATATCTGTTTTTAGCAGAAGGAAATCTTGGGACACATTGGCTTTCAAAATTTGTTGCTGAACTGGGTTCTAATAAATAGAATTCCTTTTTTTTTCTTATATAGGATGGAAAGACAGATGGAGTAAATGGACAAGACGTTGATGAATCAAGGAAAAAGGGGAGCTTTCAGTCTGTTGGAGAATCATGTAAATTACCCAGGAATCTCCAAAACGCTATGCAGGTGTGCTAGCCAGATTATACTTAATATTTTGGAGTGCTTATAATATTTCTATGAATAAGTGCTATATTTCTGTATAAAATACAGTATTTTGCTTTAGTCTTTTTAAGGAAGTAACCATTGCCAAAGAAAGAGAAGGCTTGGATTCTAGTTATTACAAGCGCCAACTGTTTTGCAGAATATCGATTTTTCATTTTTTCTTTACTAATGTATTCCCTGAAACTAAAATATACAGTCTAGAATAAATGGGATTTTAGTGTGGGGCTGTAATAGAAGAGCAAAACGGATGTAATGTCCACCGTGTGTGAGGAAAAGTGCCTTATGGTCTTGCAAAGGCATATTTTGATATAAGTGAGTATGAGCACTCTCAACTGCTATTTTGAAGGCTGTAACATTGGTATGAATAATACAATTCCACCACATCTAGGTGTAACTAGCTTAATTTATTGACATGTACTTTAAATGACTACATACTCCAAGTTCCACAAATAAGTAGTTAACTAGATAAAAATCATTGTATAAAACAATTAACTTGTTGCCTTCAAAACAGCTTTATAATACTTTATAATACTCATTCCTAGTCCTTGACAATTTTGAGATATGAGCTCAAGTAAAGTAGAGACCCTGAAAAACTTAAAATTAAAAAATCTCATTTAAAAACAGTGAACAGTGATTGGCTTCATACATTATGCTGAACCATAATCTGATTTGTTTTGCTTTGACCTAGTGTTTTGTGTGAACTCAGAGCCTATATTAGGACTTACCTTGTGGAGTAAGAGCAGCAAAGTGGCTTTACTTTTCCACTCTTATTGCATCCACAGTAGCTGGCCAGTGGCCCTGTTTTGGGTGACCAGGTTCCTTCTAGGTAAGGAAGGACCTGAAGAACCCTTGCTGGGTCACTCTGAGGACTATTCTAGGCATCTATCAGATAAAATTTCTCAGATTCACTTTGAATTGGACTCTGACTGGTTCTGTAGAGATGACTGAGGCACAGTCTTGCTCAGTTATCTGGGAAGAGTTTCAGCCTATTCCTCCTGAAGAAGTGGACAGGGTCCTTGGCCACATGAGCTCTACTACTTATGTTCTGGATCAGTGTCTCTCCTGGTTAGTCAAGGCCTTCTGGGAGGTGGCATGCAGTTGGCTCCAAGTGGCTGTTAATGCCTTTTTGCAGGAGGGGGTTGTTCCACCCACATTGAAGAAGGCAGTAGTCCATCCCCTTCTCAAGAAGCCATCCTTGAATCCAACTGTGTTGGATAACTTTCACTCTGTCTCCAATTTTCCTTTTTAGGGAAGGTTGTTCAGAAGGTGGTGGGTGCTCAGCTTCAGCAGAACCTGGAGGAAGCAGATTATCTGAATCATTTTCAGTTGGGGTTCAGGCTGGGTTATAGTCCTGAGATGACTTTGGTCATGCTTTGGATGATCTTTGGAGTGCTTGGGATGGAGGTGGTACATCCATTTGTCCCTCCTAAATCCATCAGCAGCTTTTGGTATGATTGATCATGGTAACCTTCTGAAATGGCTTAGGGGGTTAGGAGTGGGGGGCACCATTCTGCAATGGTTTTCCTTCCTCCAGGGCTAATTCCAGTCCTACATGGGGTTCCTCAGGGGTCAGCTCTCTCTCCACTCTCAGCTCTCTCTCCACTCCTCTTTAACATTACATGAAACCAATGGGTGAGATTATTCACCAGCATGGAGTGAGATATCATCAGTATTTTGATGATAGTTATACATCTCTACCCTGGGCCAGGCAAGTGATGAAACTTACCCAGTGTCTGGAGGCTCTGTGGGTCTGGATGGGGATGAGACTGCAGCTCAGTCCTAGCAACATGGAGTGGCTTTGGGTTTTGGGACCTCCTGGATCTGCGGAAATTTCATATTTAACTCTTAATGGGATGGCACTCACCCAGACAGAGTTAGTATGTAATCTGGAAGTCATCCTGGACTCACAGATCTTACTCAATGAGCAGGTAGCAACTATGGCTAGGAAAGCTTTTGCACAGATTCATTTTGTGTGCCAGTTTTGCCTGTTCCTGGACCAAGAGGCCCTTCTCATAATTGCTCATGCTCTAATCACCTCTTGATTGGATAACTACAACATGGTATACATGGGGCTACCTTTGAAAAACACTCAGAAGCCCCAACTGATCCAGAATGCAGTGGTGTGTGCAGTTTGGGACACCCTGAGATTTGTTTGGGTTACACTGGAGTTGTACGAGCTTGTTGAAAGTAAAGGAGATGATCCTGAAAGAAATATGCAAGAACCATTAAGGGGCTAAGGAGGCTGAAACATTGTCTACATCCTGGGAACAGTATTCAGGCTCAGGCGAATGCCTCCCTTATTCACTAAAGTGTAAGGAGGAGAGGATGTACAGCATAATCAGACTTGCAAGATTCTGTTGTTGTAGCCAATTTCAATAAAGTATACTTCTGGTTTTCCTATGGAGGTGGTTTTCTGATCTGGTCTACCTAGTGGAGTTGATAGAGCTGCAGTGAGTCCCAGCATTCTTCTGAGTGCAATTCAAGGTGCTGGTTATCATCTTCAAAGCCTTGCATGGCATAGGGCCAAGTTACTTGTGGGACTGCCAACAGGGTTGGTGTACTTTAGGTCCCTTTGGTTAAACATCTTGTAAGACCAAGGAGTTGTGCTGCTTCTGTCACGGCACCTGCCATATGGAACAGCCTCCCCCTGCAATCTGGAGTCCCTACCTCCTTGGCTTTCCAGAAGCTGTGAAAACTTGGCTTTTCCCTCAGGCACTGGGCCAGAATGTGGGGTAAGCCAACATTGGTGTGGGGTGTGTGTGGTTGAACTTTATGATCCCTGGATCATCGTATTATGACTATTTTAATTTGGTGTCTTTTGTTTGAGGATTGACGTTCTATTCTATTCTATTCTATTCTATTCTATTCTATTCTATTCTATTCTATTCTATTCTATTCTATTCTTTTGTTTTTTGTTGTTAGCTACCCAAAATTCATATATAAAGCAAGTAGACATTTACATTTTATAAATGAGTAGAATATTACAAAAAAACAATATCAGTATGCCTAAACTTATACCAAAGCAACTGATTTCAAACAGGGAATGAATTCATAGAACAATACTCCAAAAATCATTTGGCTGTAAATCTGCTGTTGAGCTTACTGCTAACCAAAGTACAAGACTATTGCATCTAACAAATTCAGTTTATCCCGTGGTATCTGCAGCAAACTGCAGTGATGCCATAGTGATAACACATATGTACCAATGTCATCATGCAAATGCTGCCATTTATGTACTTAATTCAGAGACGCCATTTTTATTGCTTTAATACACCCCCCCAAAATAAAAAAATAAATAAAAGCCTTCCATGTTGCCTATAATAAATCAGTCAGGCTGTTTTTTATCACATCATTAAACTTGACCATGCAAACAGTACTGATAACATTTTCTAGTATTTTGATCTAGAGCTAACTCATAACAGAAACCAAACCCATATCTGTGATCCAAGATCGAAAATCTGGGGTCATTGTTTTAAGTGGACATGGGATATTTGAGGCTAAGAAAATACATACAGTGGTACCTCGAGTTACGAATTTAATCCGTTCCGTGACTCTGGTTGCAACTCGAATTGGTCGCAACACAAGGCAAATTTTCCCATAAGGTCCAATGTAATTACGTTAATCCGTTAATCCGTTCTGGCGTGGAAGACAGGGAGGCGGCTATTGCTTGGAGGGAGAGTCAGGGGCGGAAAAATGGCCGCGGACCACGTGTCAGGGGCGGAAAAATGGCCACGGACCATGTGTCAGGGGCGGAAAATGGCCGCGGACCACATGTCGGGCGGAAAAATGGCCGCGGACCATGTGTCGGGCGGAAAATGGCCGCGGACCACATGGGCGGAAAAATGGCAGCGGACCACGTGTCGGGCGGAAAATGGCCGCGGACCACGTGTCATGGAAGGGAAAATGGCCGCGGATCC